ATACAACCACACCATACATTAACATGGCAACCAGCTTACTAGATGTCTATAAGGAGTGGGATTATGAAATTTGCCATTGGATTTTGCTTCTATTGAAGGTTTAAGAGAGCCTGGCATGACAGAAGCTTTGTAAAATGCATTTGAGCCGAAACCAAGGTATTACGAGCATATTTGTGTTGGTTTAAGAAGACTTGGGATACCACAAAAAAATTTGATAAGCTTCCCAAAATCTTCATGTTGAATTGAGGAGGTGGAATTGACTAGTGCACCGCACCATTCATCCCCATATGCCAAGAGACTCCGTAGTCAAGAAAAAGATCCCTCATACTGCACTTGTTTCATATAAATGTTGGTTTAATATTGTTAGGGAGATTCTTAGATTGAGAATTAAAAAAGGTGAGGTCAAGGGAAGTTGATTTCGCTAAGTAAGAGATATCAATGGGAAGCATCTCAATAAATATGATGAAGGAAAGATTGAGGTTTGAAAGATTTGAAAGTTTCTCCCAACTAAAATGTGGAATGGATACTATGTTATAGAAAAAATTGAGGGTGCACAAAGATGTGAGATTGAAGAGGTTATGAGATCTTGTGCTAGTGATGGACCGATCGCTTTGGTTTAGGCCTATAACCTATCTTGATTATTCGCATGTCTCACATTCCCAGATGCAATTGTATGTTCTTGTCGGCCATGTATCGAGTTCACCAAAGGTAAATCCTTGGTTGAGCTGGAGGAGTGTACCCAGTGACATTGTCTAAGGATGTTGTAGTTAACAAAGAAAACTCAAGAAAAAGAGACAATGTGAGAAGTAACATGTGGAGAAAGATGAGGCAGTTGATATGAAATGGCTCCATGCAGAAGACTGAGTAGATGTTTGAATTTAGAGGAGATGGCCAACATGACACATTGGTCTTTTTTTTTTTTGATAAAAATCCACAAAGGGGCCTACACATTTCATAATTAAAGAGTTACAAGTCCTCTGAGGAGCATAAGCTTTCTCAGCAGCAGTTCCCTCCTCTAGCCACGCTCAGCAACACAAGCATCCATAAATGTAAATGAACTTAAGAGGCTCAAAAGAAAACAAGAAACCAAAACTAAACAAAATAAAAAGGAACATAACAAAAAAGCAACATAGCATCAACACCCAAAACAAAATAGAAACAACAAACCCCAAAGGAGAAGACAACAACATAAAAAGTCAAGACACAGGAATTGAGAAATAAGCCAACCAACAAAAATAAGGACCAGCACACCATCTGACCCCCAACCCAAACACCCTAGCCATTGCTAAACCCAAATAACACAGCAAAAACCAAACTCCAACTTGACACCAACCAAACCCCATAGCCCTACCTCCAACCCAAAACATCCCCAACCGATCAAGCAAAACCCAACAGACACAACCAAGGACAAACAAACACACAAAGCCCCACAACTACACCAAGCAAAACATACAAACCAAGTAAGAAGGTGCCAACAACAGACAATAGGAACATAAATAAAAAGAATTACTTCCTTTTAGATTTATATCTATGATGTTTTCCACCACCATGATAAAAAGCATTCTCAACGATGCGACTCATATTCAAATTATACATTGCATAATACTTATCCTCTGGCCCATCCAAGGCTTCCCCATCACCCCCACAAGGCGAGGAAAAATTCTCATCTAGCCAATCAGATTGATCAACATAAGTATCCTTCATTTTTAATGCCAATTGAGCTTTCAACGCCTCATTAGAAATAAGAGAAATCAAACCATCAATAAATGAAACATTCCCCTTCTAAACCATAATATTAGGCGACAAAGCAGGTTCGAAAGAAGCTAATGATGGTTCGTTAGAATAACAAGCAATCCGCTAGAGGAATCATTCAACGCCACTGTGTTAACATCACAAAACCCCATGTTCACTATATCCACTTTACCATGAGACAAATATGGAACAATATTCTTTGGATCCTTCTTATCAATAGTAGGTGAAGCAACACGTTGATAATCACAACCATGCAATTGAGGCAATTTTTTAACAACCTCAATATTACTACGCTCATAATCCTCTCTAATGAAATAATCCAAATCCATAAAGCATATTGACTACTAGAGATATTGACAACATGATCAAGTAAATCTATTCAAAATATATTAGGATTAATAATTTTCATATTCTCCAAAATAGGAAAAAAAAAGGAAGAATCACAAGGACATTAGAAACCAATGGGACGGGCTGAGACGAATGCCCCCAATCACCAGCAAAAAGGGACGAGGCAACAACCCATTTTTGAAATGCCCCACAACACCAACATCCACATTATCGTGCAATGCTAAATCACTATCTTGTGCTTTATTTTTCATACCATTAGAGAGCTTTTCACACACATTAATAGAAAGAGAGTTAACAGTGCGAGAATTATCAAGATGGGGGTGTAAAATGTGACATTCCAATTTTGAATGCCCCAAAGATTTTCAATGAGTATAAGAAGAAGAAAAATCCTTTATAATCACATATTGAATGTAACCCAAGTTTTCGGGAATAACCCACACTCTATCAAGAAAAATTTTGGTGACATATAACTCAACTAGAACACGAGGGACAGAGGGCCAAGAGCTAGAAGAAGTAGCATTATCATTTTTTATAGGCCAACCAAACAAGGAACCAAGACCATGAACGATTCAGGGAGAGAAGAGGTGAGGCCTAATTTTAGGAAACGAAACCCAAATCAGAATAATGGGAGACTCAACTTCAATATCAAAAATTGGAGTTCATTTAAATAATTTCTTAAAATAATTGTTCACAAAGTAAAAATGATGAGCAAACATTCTACAATAATCCAGGTTATTAATAAGCTTAATCAACACATGCTTCGGGTTAAAGATAGTAACCGAGAAATCACCAATAAGCTTGATCTTAAAGAAAAATTTCTTGATTGCATCAAGAGAGGGTCTACGACCTTAGAATTTGTCAACCAAATTGAACTCAAAGGGTGCAGCAAACGCAAGAATTTCATCTTCCAAATTTCAAGGTGACAGTAACCCACGGTGAGAGGTGATTTTGAGGTAGGAAAATTTGATGATGGAGAAACACCAGATAGAAAATATATAATAGAACGAGTAGAGGTCTTTCTATTCAATAAACCAGGATCATTCAAATTGTTAACTGCCATTTAATGAAAAAGTCAGTCGAATGAGGAAAAACCGAGCAAAAATAAAACCAAAACACCACAGAAAACCATTGTGGGGAAGAAAAGGGGACTTACCTGAAGCCTAATCAATCACCGAAGGAGGGTGTCGTGGAGGAGAGAGGCTAGTGCAGAAAAACCCTAACAAAGCAATACACCACAGTGGTCTAATAAAAGAAGAGACTTTTAGGGTTTATTTGAGTCATCTCTTCGGTCAATTGAAAGATGTTGGCTTCATTTAGTATAGCTTTCTTACTATTTCTAAATAAATATTTTAGTATAAAATTTTCTTGTTCAATAATTTTTTGTATTAGGAAGCACTTTTAAAAACAGTATGAAAGTTATCCCAAATGAAACCTTATATGTGGTTCTCATTGTGGTTGAACTCTTTTATGCCATCCAAAGTTACCTTTTATGAGAGAAAAAAAAAACTATTTTTATTTTGAATATGCTCATATAAAACAACTTTTATACCATTCACTATTGCATAAATAGTAAGTCATGTTTCAAATTAACTAACCCAATGTTTACATTGCGTAATGTATTTATCAATTATATATCAACACTTATTAAAAAAGTGTCAACGATAGGTACATGTTAGCAGCATTACCTTAAATTTTTTTGCGGCATTTATTATTCTACATCACTTTTTGTTAGTAGCAATGTGCTTTTAAAAAATACATAAAATATCACACAATAAAAAATTAATTGGTGAAATCTATGTTTTTCATGTTAACGCTGTCGAACATTCTATTCTATAACATATAAATATTTAGTAGAAAGTTCTCAAACTTCTTTAAACTAAGTTTGTATAAAGTGAAATCAAATAAAACACCCAAAATACCAACAAAAGTGTCCCAAACTGAATTGAAGTAGGGCAACAATAACCTACACTGAGCCAAAAAATTTATCCAACTAGTTTGCCGGATGAAGTTGATTTTACAACTTTCGAATCCTACTTTCTCTCACTAGGAATTTGTCCCTCTATCTTTGCAACTATCAACCTACAAAATGGAATGAAGAGAAATGCAATTTTTGAAATAAAACTTAATATTTATGTACAACATTACAAAACCACCATCCCTAGCATTATAGTGCTCCAAAAGAGAAGTTTCGAAACATAAAAAAAAGTCGTATTCCCAACACTACAACGCTCCCAAAAGAAAATTTTAGAGCCAAATAGAGACTTTAGCTTTGTAGCACCAACCCTTTACACTGTTGTGCTCTCAAGCACTAACTAACTTACAAAGAAAGTAGTATAATAGTGTCACAGTGCTCCAAAAGGAAATATTTTTCTCTTAACATATATTTTTTCTAACTCAAATCACAATCCCTTTTTACCTAAATTAAATTAAAAAATAATTTTAAAGTTAATATAAATTTATGGGGCGCTAAAATAGACCATTAATTTGCTGATGAAAAGCCCGATCATTACTTTATATGTGAAAAGCTATATTGAAATTTAATTTGGTTGCACACTTAGGCTTCGTTTGGGACGGCTTTCTTACTGCTTCTTTAAGCCGTTTTCTAGTACAAAAATTAAAATTTCTGTACTAGAAAGCGGCTTTAAGAACCAATAAGAAAGCCATCCCAAACGAAGCCTTAATGAACTTCTTCGCGGCTGCAATATTAATAAATATAGAAATAATTTTAAGGGATCAAAAATATTTTCTTTGATGTCAAAATTTAAATAAAATACACTAAAAACAGAAAATATAATTAAACTCAAAAGTTGTCCAAACAATCTTTTAATATATTATTGTAGCCGTAAGAAAATTATTAATTAAAAAGTAATAATTAAATAAAAATGTGAAAACTCCTATAAGTTGCAGGTTGTGGCATGCTTGCAGCCATCACTTACTGATTCATCTCCTTACCTTTCCCACGATGATTCCCACTTTCCAAACTCTTCTCTCTCTGTTCACTTTCATCATCTTCGTCTCTGGATGTCTCCCCAGTGAGAGATCAACACTTCTCCAACTAAAGAAAGGTTTCTCTTTCCCTACGCTGGAATCTTGGCAGCCAGACACGAACTGCTGTCAATGGAGCGGCATCCTTTGTGATGGTGGTTCGGGTAGTGTCGTTCATCTCGACCTCAACTCTCAAAATTTATCGGGTAGTATTTATCCAAGCCTCTTCAATCTCTCCTCTTTACGTGTTCTCAATCTTGCCTTCAACCTGTTTTATGGGAATCCAATTCCAAGTTTTGGATGGGAAAAACTTGGGAATCTCACACATCTGAATCTTTCAAACTCGGGATTCCAAGGGCAAGTCCCTATTGGCATATCTCGTCTCAACAATTTGGATTCTTTGGATCTGTCTTCGTATAGAGATTCATTGCTCGAGCTTAGAGACCCTGATCTCGGAGCGCTTCTCCAAGGGCTTAGTAATCTGAAGGTGCTCTATCTTGATGGTGTGAACATCTCTGCAAGTGGAGAGGAATGGTGTGGAGCTTTGGCTAAATCGACTCCCGAACTTCAAGAGCTGAGCTTGGAAGCCTGTTTACTCACTGGCGGCATTGGAATTTCCTTATCCAAGCTTCGGTCTTTGTCCGTTATTGACCTTGAAGGGAACAGTTTGAACACCATTGTGCCTGATTTCTTCGTTAATTTTACTTCGTTATCTGTGCTTCGGCTAGGTTACTGCGGGCTTGAAGGTTTTTTCCACAAAGACATATTTCAGCTGAAGAATTTGACAATTATTGATGTCTCCATTAATCCAATGCTTTCTGGATCCCTCCCAGATTTCACCATGGACAGCACTCTAGAAAGTTTGGTGCTTTCTCACTCAAATTTTTCTGGGGTTTTACCTGAAACCATTGGCAATCTCAAGTTTTTGAAAATACTAGATCTTTCAAACTGTCATTTCTACGGGAAAATACCATCTTCAATTTGGAACTTAACTCAGCTGATGATTTTGTACCTCTCCTCCAATAATTTCACAGGTCTGATTCCTCCTTTTCAGTCATCTTCATCTGTTGTTGAGATAATGCTCACAGAGAATCAAAAATCATGTTCAATACCTACTTGTTATGGAGGGAGAGGTCTTCAAAATCTTATCATACTTAATCTATCAAATAACTCACTTTCTGGACCAATTCCCAAAACTCTATTTAATCTACCTCAATTGCAGAAATTGTTGCTTTTCCAAAACAAGCTCTCTGGCAAACTTCCTGAGTTTTCTAATGCCTCTTTACTGAAAGATATTGAACTCAACAATAATAAGCTCCAAGGAAAGATCCCAATGTCACTTTTTTGGCTGTCCGAACTAACGTTTCTCTCACTTGCTAATAATAACTTCAAAGGATTTTTCCAGCTGAACTCCATCCCATTTCTGAAGAACTTGTCATATCTTGATTTATCTGATAGTGGATTGTCTTGTCTTGAAGAAGATGACGACTCTTCCTTTTCTTCATTTCCCAAGATAGCTACTTTGAAATTGGGAGGATGCAATCTAACCAAGATACCACTTTTCTTGGTGTTCCAAGATCAGATTAACGCACTGGATCTCTCACACAACAGTATTACTGGTAATATACCTATTTGGATTTGGAGTGTTGGAAATGGAAACCTCAACTACTTGAACCTCTCTTGCAACTTATTCACTTTTGTTGAAGAGACTTCTTTTAATTTTTCCCCTTCTTTTTCAATGGTGCTTGATCTCCACTCAAACAAACTGCAAGGACCAATCCCTCTTCCCTCACCTAATACCATTGTTCTTGATTACTCAGATAACAAATTATCATCTTACATCCCTAACAACCTTTCCTTCTACTTGAAATTCGCTGTGTTTCTATCCCTTGCAAGAAACAATCTCAGTGGAGAAATCCCCAATTCACTCTGCAATGCAACCTCTCTCTCTGTTCTTGACTTATCCAACAATGCTTTAACAGGTTCTATTCCACCATGCCTTATGGGAAATGGAATGGACCTACATGTTCTGAATCTTGGAAGCAATCAGCTTCAAGGATCCATCCCTCCAGAAATTAGAGAAAAATGTAATTTTCAAACAATAAATTTCAACAGCAACTACTTGGAGGGCCAACTTCCTCATTCTCTTGTCAATTGTCATGCACTTGAAGTTTTAGACTTGGGGAACAATGAGTTGGTAGACACGTTTCCTAATTGGTTGGGAAATATTTCCTCACTTCTTATTTTGATTTTGTGTTCCAACAAATTATATGGTCCATTCAGCCTTCCATCAAACAACCAAGGAAAAATACTCTTCTTTCAAGAGCTACAGATCTTAGATATCTCTTCTAATAATTTCAATGGTAGTTTGTGCATAGAATGTTTTAGCAACTTTAAAGCTATGATGAGAATTAACAAAGATTCGGGGCAATCAGCTATTGGCTTTAACTATTTTAAGTTCAGCACAAAAATCTATCAAGATTCGATAACTATCACGATCAAAGGACTCTCAATGAATTTGCGAAAGATTCTGAGTATCTACAAATCCATCGATTTCTCAAATAATAATTTTGATGGAGAGATCCCTACAGTGATTGGAAACCTTGTTTCTCTATACCTGCTAAACATGTCAGGAAATGCTTTAACAGGTCCAATTCCTCATCAGCTCGGCAATTTGACACAACTCGAGTCATTATTCTTTAGAAAAATTCAAATATAATTATGACATATGTTATTAAATATATGATAAAATAAAGGCTATAATAGTATAATACCGACGGTAAGACATCCAGTTAAACCTCCGGTAATACCAGCGGTTATTTGACCGTCGGTAATCGTTTATTTTTCTGTACTATATTAAGATGTTGGTTGAAAAGCCTATATGAAAACTAACATCTGAAAACCAACTAACACAATATTAATACTGATTGATGAAGTCCTCATATATATCCGTTTATTCATATGTTTCTCTCTCTAATTTTATATCTAATTTTCAAGTTGTAGCATCTCTTTTTCAATCTTTATGGAATTATTGTCGAAGTCTCTGTTATCACCACTTCTATTTTCACTATGGTGTCCAATATCATGACTTCAATCTCCATTATGGTGTCTAAATTTAAAATAAAAAATAAAAATTTTCAAAGTCTCCAACTAGTCTTCTACCATACATCACAAAAAAAAAAAAAAAAAAGTTTTTTTAAAGTCTCCAACAATATTATTGTCGAAGTCTCGGTTATCACCACTTCTATTTTCATTATAGTGTCCATTATCAAGACTTCAATCTCCATTATGGTGTCTAAATTTAAAAATAAAAAATAAAAATTTTCAAAGTCTCCAACTAGTCTTCTACCATACATCACAAAAAAAATAAAAAAATAAAAGTTTTTTCAAAGTCTCCAACTAGTCTTCCACCATCCATCACCCAAAAAAAAAAAAATTCAAAGTCTCCTAGTCTTCCATCAGACAAGAAAATAGTTCAAGCAGTCTTCTACCATTTATCACAGAAAAAAATTCTTTGAAGTCTCCTCGTCTTATCACAAAAAGTAGTCTTTAGATATCTTGGATCTATTTTTCAGAGTGATGGTGAAATAGATGGGGATATTATTAGCAGAATTCAAGTTGGATGGTTGAAGTGGAGGGATGCATCGGGCTTGTTGTGTGATAGAAAGTCCCAATCAAACTTAAGGGAAAATTCTATAAGATGGTGGTGAGACCTGCAATTAATGCTTTTATGATATCGAATGTTGGTCATCAAAACAGAAGCATAATACTAAGTATAGTAGAGATGAGAATGCTTAGGTGGATGAGTGGCATTACACTTAGAGATAGGATACGAAATGAGCATATACGTGAAAAGGTTGGAGTAGCTCCAGTAGAAGAAAATATTAGAGAGAGTTGCCTTATATGGTTTGGTCACATTAGAAGGATGCCTTCCACTGTCCCAGTTAGAAAAGTTGAGGTATTAGATTTGACTTATGTTAAGAAAGGTAGAGGTAGACCTAAAAAGAATTGGTTAGAAAACAATATAAATGATCCTTCTTTATTAAATTTAAATGTGAATTTGTCTTAATTGACTTAAATATCTTAAAAAAATATGGATTGAAATTCATTAAAAAAGATTGATTCAAACTATATGATGGAATCATTACTGGAGTTTTCGAGATTATTATCAATAAAACAAATCATAAGTCTTCCAAATCATCTCCTCCATTCAAAATATTGTTTTTTTAACTCTTTCTTCCAAAAAAAATAACTTTGGTTGGCCACAAGGACTTCAACCACTGG